GGGCGGCCCCCGCGGCTGCCCGGGCGGGCTGTACGGCGGGGTGGCCGGCGTGGCCTACATGCTCTACCACGTCGCGCAGTGCCCGCTCTTCGCGCCGTCGCGGGAGGCCTACCTGCGGGCGGCCCGCCGCGTCGTGGACGCCTGCCTGCGCTGCCAGGAGGGCGGCGGGGAGGCCGACGCCGACACCCGCGCCGCCTTCTTGCTGGGGGGCGCCGGGGTGTACGCGGTGGCCGCTTTGGTCTACCGCGCCCTGGGGCTGCCCGAGTTCGCCCGGCCGCTGGGCAAGTTCCGGGAGCTGAGCGAGGTCTGCGCCCCCCTCTCCTTCCTGGAGTGCGGCTCCGACGAGCTCTTCGTCGGCCGCGCCGGGTACCTGTGCGCCGCCCTGGTGCTGAAGCAGCGGCTGGGCATGGAGGTAAGGGCGGGCGGGAGGGAGGGATGCGGCGGGGAACCCCCCGGGGAGGAGGGGGGACACACAAGCCGCACCGTCGGGGCCGTCGGCCCGTCCCCTGGCAGCTGGCGGCGGTGCCCCCGGGCTGGCATCCCCCGGGCTGGCACCCTGTACCTCTGCTCCGCGGGAGAGGGGGATGCACCGCACCGGTACCGGGGCTCTCACCGCACAAAAGCGCCTTTTCCAGCTTGCACTTTGGGGGCACCCTGCGGGAAGAGCCCTCGGGGGATGAAGGTGTGTGTGTGTTGGGGGGTGTTCTGGCTTTTTGTAGGAGCTGTTACTTCGCAGCGCTCTTTCCCCAAAATAAAAGGTGCGCCTGTTGGAGGGAGCGAGGGGCGCAGGGCGTGCGGGATGCGGTCCCGCTGCTGGGGCAGGGCTCTGGGAGCAAGGGCCACGCATCCCGCTGCATCCCGCTCCCCGGGCACGCCGGGAGCATCAGCTGTCGGTTGCCAGGTGGTGAATTGCTTGGCAGGAGCAAGCCCGGGCTTTTCAAGAGCATTTCCGTAAAATGAAGTGGGTAGGAAAAGGATTAGTGTTGGGTAAAACAGGGTGGGGAACCTTATTAATAGTAAGTGGTGCTGTGCTATAATTTGCAAGCAAGGAAGTGGATTTTCAGAGGTGCTTGATTTTACTAATCCCAGCATACAGGAACTGGTAGTCTTGTGGAAATCTGGCCATGTATTTCAATTCTTTCCGTTACTGGGAGTTGTGGCGGTTTTTTGGGGGAGATGTGAGATGTGATTATGGTTCAACATGCTGTTGGTTTCAGTAGTGGGGACTTTACTGTAGGAAATTGTCATTGTCAGTGCTGACATTAAGAGCTTCCACTGACTACAGCATAGTAATTAATGCAACTGATGCTGTTTGCTGTGGTGTTTGTTACTAAGTGGTCAGTGCGGTGTCTGAGCAGGCATTTGTTAGATTTTTTTTTTCCTGTCCTCTTGTCAGGTCCAATCTATGTTTCCTCTGTTAATCACTGATTTGCAAGTTCATATGCTTCTGGCTTTCTTTCCTCCTGGGAGAGGAAGCAACTATTACAAGTAAATAAATGATGTAAAAACAAGTGGCTCTGCCCCATCCAATACCAGTCACTGCAATCAGAGTCTAAGGAAATTCATTTAATGGAGGACTCGGGAGACTCTAGGGTATCCAGAGAAGACAAGAAGAACGTTAAGTCAGTCGAATGTTTTGATTGCCTTGAACAAAAATTCTTACAGCACTAAGCATTTAAAGTGGTGCTGTTTCCTTGTATAGAATTGTCTGATAATCTGTTATTTGTAAATATAACACAACCAAACTTTATTCTGACAGCATTTTTTACAAGGAAAGTTTTTTTGTAGATGCATCACAATGCGTGTAGGTGCTCCATGCCTTGTGCAGCAGTGCCAGCCTGAGGGGATGGTTCCTCACAGAGGAACAAGCCATCCTTAGTAGTTCAGTTTGCATTGGGGGAGTGTGTCTAACACCCATATCAGTGCTTATGATGGTGTCGTGACATACCAGCTGAATGAGGTAGCTCCCTGGACTCTACTGCTTCATTTAATTCCTTCATCCATTTGTCTTACGTCCTTGAGAGCAATCGCTGAACAGTTTGGAGAGTAGGTGCATTCACCTCTGGCAGGCAGTGCAAGAAAGGGATAAAGCTTTCCTCTCTGTTTGCTTGCTTGATAAAAAATTATACTTTATGCAGCTGTAAAGAGTTAAAAATCCCCACAGATGAGCACAGGGAATTGTGGAATCCATTTAGCAGGTGGGTTAAATACAATCCTAGCGAGGTTTATTTTGCCACTAAAACATATTCTGTCTCCCCTTGCTGATGTTTTAATCAGCAAGTTAACATCCTTCCCTAATATTATTTATTCTGTCACCACATTGTCATTTTAAACATATGGTATACAGGAAATAAATCAAAATAATCCAAAGTATTAAGTATTAATAAACCCAACTTTAGTTTTTAATTCTAACAAAAAATAAAGCTTTTAACTAAAATATTTTGCCCCTTAATGAGGAAAATGATAATGATCTGTAGCCAGTATGTACTCATGCGCAAAATTTGCGTCCATAGATAAATGTTCCCATCCTAATACAGAATTATTTTAATTAGTACATTGGCAAGACCAGACCCTGCATCTTTTTACAAATGAAGAAAGGGATGCCCAGAGAGAGTGCATGTAATTTATTACCCAAGGTCAAATGGTAAGTCAGGTACATCCCAGAATAGAAGCAACGTCTTGTGATTCAAACCACTGGAAAATGCTACCTCCTGTAATTTGATTGTGCACAGTCTCACACGGTTCATTGCAGCATGTTTTCTTGTTTCCCACATATTTTTTTTTTTTTTTTTTTTGATGCAAACATTTCCAGCACAAAGTGAAAGCCATTCCTCACATTGAAATACAGCTGCTTCTGCCTGTATGGTTGGGTTTTTCCTCTGAATATGTCAAATGGTGACCTATATACAAGAAATTGCTTGCCCTTGAAGAGAGGCTTTCTGAGAAAATTTTACAATTTATGTTGTGCATTTGGTTTTTGTTTTTTCCGGGCAGGGAAGGAAGGAAACTGTTTTATTTCAGAAAATGCCAGTTTAGCTCAGCTGCTGTGCTCTGATGCATCGGTTTCTTACTAAAGAGTATTGGTGTTTTAAAGCTTCACATGTTCCTCAGAAAGTTAATGGACTGTCCTGAAGGATCCAGTCTGTTGAATAACGTTGACCTCGTGTGAAGAAGGCATTTACATTCAGCCGAATTTCAGAGTTTTAGGCTAATACAGCATTTTCCACTGATTAATTAATTGGGAGTTTTTGCATGAGTAAGGATTACAGTCAAGGCTTAACAGGATCTGACTTTCGTGATGCACTGTGCATTAGGGAAGACGGTGGTTTTCATCCTTTCTTTAATTTCCGTTACATTGTAGTTAGTGCTCCCCAGGCAGAGATGAGTAAAATACTGGTTTGGGAGAAACAAAGTGTCATTTATATAAGGTATAAATAAGGTGCATGTACTTTAGCTCTCCTTAACTGCTGTGTTCTCACTGTTCAGAGGAAGTTTTGTTTCTCTTCTGTCTTCTTCAGCTACCTCCTTTTCTGGTGCTTGGTTCATTATGTTTGCTTGGGGAAATTTGTCAGTCCTGCTTTTAATTCTCATTATTCGGTCTCTGTTTCCTCTTGCAAACAGTAGTAAGACACTGTTAAAATGGTGGTCCCCATCCCCCTGTTCTGATAGTATTTTATCCTCTCCTTGTTTTTTCTTGGTGGCGTTTCTGTTCCATTTCGTGGCTGATGGAGCGTGGTGTGTCCCGGTAGTTGCACTTCCTTCTGGCAGTGTAACTGTCAGATGACAGAAGTTCAAGTGGCTTTTTGCATCACCATCTGCTGAGATGTTACCACCTTCTAGCTCAGCTCAGATTTTCTTTTAATGACTGACTGAACCTATGGGCTTGACTTGGCTTCCACTAGCTCTGGGTTGCAGCAGAAACCACTGTGATAGGTAGCAATGTACCACATAGGAGGCAGGGCAGCATTCTCCATGACTGCCTGATGTGGTGGTTTCTTTAGAGACTGGACATCTAAAAGACATTGGGGATACCTTAAGAGACCCTTGCCTGCAGTTGCAGTGGTGACAAGCTGAACCAGCACACAGCCAAGCCAGTTCCCTCGGGCACTGTGCTGCTGGGGTGAGTCTTGAGAGCCTGCGAGGGACCTTGGGCCCTTTCATGCCATTAGGTGGTTAAGCTTTATGTCACTGTGGCAGAGGGGCACCTCAATTTCCTTTTCCAACAAATGCGATGTCATGATGTGGTGTGTGTTTCTGAGGTTGTTGTCCTGTCACAAGGGAGGACACAATGCTGATGTTACTTTGTTATAGGATGCCCAGGGAGGGCAATGGTCTTTCTAGTAGGACTCCATTGCATGTTGTGCCCTGCTAAAAACCATACTTAACCCTGGCTGCTGTCTTTCACCAGAGCCTCTTTTCTCTTGGACCTCCCAAGATTGCAAGTCATGCTGACCAACTTTACATGGAAAAGAGAAATAGCACTGCTGTGTGATGTCTGGGTGCCACAGCAAGGGAGATGTGAGGTGGGACTGGCTTTAAAAGGCAGTGGAACAGACTGATGTGCAGTGCATGGGACCTGATAGGTCCAGCCAGCGTATTTCATATTCTGGAAGAGAAGGTATAAATGAATGAAAACTATTTCCTTTCAACTTTTCAGACAACTCTAGATTATGTTACTTGTTCCTCAGAGTCTTCCCTCCAGCTAGTATTTAAAGACTTTTGTAGGTTACTGTGCTCCACATTTTTTGTGGGTTTTTTTTTTCAGTCTCTTAGAAAAAAATTCCAAAAGCGTGAGAGGAAGGAGCTTCCTGGATCCTGCCTAGAATGTTCATTTGCAGCTCTTTACAGTGGGATGTAAATGTATTCATGCTGAACATTGACATGACATATGAAAGACACTTGATGGATTAATCTTAGAAAGGGAAATCTGCAAAATATCCACAGCACCTCTGAGTGCTGTAGCGCAGGGTCCCTGTGTCGGGCTTTTAATCTCACCTATGCCTGGAAGGGAAGGATTGTCCTTTGAGGTGAGATTTCATTCCTTCTCTGTGCCCATTAAAGTCTTTCTCTCTGTGGACGAATTTGCCAGTTTATCTGAAACGTGGTGTTTGAAATGTCAAATATCATGGTGCTAGCTGGAGCTCTACTGATTTCATTTTACACAGGCCACTACACAGCCAGGATGTCGTTTGTTGCCACAGAGGATTAAAGTGAGACACCAGTTAAGATAAAAAGCTTTTGATCCTAGCCTACCTCTTTTAAATGTGCATTCTACTAGCCATGCTTTCCCAAACCACACACAGGGGGTAGATTTTGCATTAATTTGCTTAAATTGATGAATTTAAACAAGGAGTTGAAAATGTAAATTTTCTAAAGTAAACAGTGAAACAAAGGGAATTATTTATGTCTGCA